CATGATGAATAATATTGAGCTACCAACTGTCCAGACACACAATGACTTAGTAGTCATCGTTGACCAAGACTTAAAAACTACTGCATACTACCTTATGGTCAATACGTAGCGCCTTTTATTCGTGTCGACGCTAAGACATTTTTGACTTGATATACAGTGTTCATCCGTCCGAAATTTGAGTACTGAATACAAGCGACCAGCCCTCGCTTAGACAAAGACAGTGAGTTTTTGGAAAATGTTCAGAGAACGGCAACTAAGCTGATTCCCTAAATGGCGAAAATCCCGTGTGATGCTTGACCGGTCAAGCTAAACCTATTCACATTGTCATATCGAAGGTCTAGAGGTGACTTGATTACAGTTTTCGAATTATTTAGTGATAAATTTGCACCTGATATGCCCTCATTTTTCTTGTCTTCCAAAACAGAGAATTTACGAGCAAACTCCAAAAACGTCCATAAGCTCAGAACAAATTACTTGTCAGATGACTATCGACTTTGCCATCAACGATTGGAATTCATTACCTTAACACATGATTGAAGCTTCATCTATCGACTCTTCCAAAAGAAAGTTGCATCAACTGGGGGATCATCATTGCCAGGACTAACTCAGGTCGTCAGGCCTCCTATCCTTTCCAAACTGAAAATGATACTTAACTTGATAAGGGTCTATCAAAATACTCTGGAAATATTTCAATTTTTTTCTTAAAAAACTACTTTAAATAAGAAATTCATAGAGAAACCATATTGATAACACTATGGATACTGATTAATGACCAGATTTGTATGCGATAATAAAATGACAGATAATTCCCATTTAAACATTAAAATTAAAACACGAATTTCAGCGAAGGGATCTCTTTTCAACGAATTTATTATCAAGCTGTACAATCGTATATATATGAAAATTTTGTTTTTGTAAAAGTACTAATTCCGTGAGGAAATGTGAATATAGTTAATATAAAGGTTATAATACTAGATTACGTAATATGAATAATAATAATAGATTTAGTGAATATAATAAGATGATTAAAATGTTTTTGATATAATAATTAAAGGTCATAGAGGTGTACAAAAATAAACTGATATGATGAGCGTTCATGAATAAAACAATGAGAATATAAGACATAAGTAAAGGGGAATGCAGTAATAATAATAATAGTAGGATAATCAAACTAATTAAGGCCAAGGTAACGATAACGATAAGACGTACTTCTTTTGTACGCATAGTTCTGGTTTAAGCTCCTGGATGGCAAGAGCTTCGGCTATTTTTAAAAGTTGTATACGAAGAAATCTGGGTAGATTTGAACGAATCATATAAACAACCTTAAAATCAATTTGTGGATCTGTTGAATGGTTATAGTCAATTAGGTGTTCAAGAATAGAACTCCTAACTGCTTTCCTTTCACCCTTATAGAACCAGGCTGGAATATGTTCTCGTATCCGAGTTGAAAGCGAGCGCTGGCTACGGCCAATGTACCTTGCTCCACAAGAGCAGGTGAACTGGTAGATGCACATGGAGGCGACCAGACGCGGAAGCTTATCTTTTATGGATACAGAAAATAAGTTTCTACTAGTGAAGGATATTCGCAGTTTTGCCGCGTTAAATGTTCTCCTAATAGTTGTTGTTAGACGGTTTTTGATTACGTCCGATGTTCGGTCACCTTTAAATTCCAGACTTATATAAAGGTTTTTCTTTGGAACGGAACAACTAGAATTCTTCTCGCGACTACTTTTATTCATATTCTTTTCTATGAACCGTTCTGGGTAACCATTTTCCGTCAAAGTCTTCTTCAGGAATGCGAGTTCTTCGTTAATGCATTCCGTACTGCATATGTGATGTATGCGATGGCATAAAGAATGGATAAGGTTTCTCTTCCTACTTAACGGAACCCAGCTATAGAAGTTGGTTAGCTGGCCATTCCATGTTTGCTTTCTAAAGATGGATCTTTTTAAAGAACCATTACTCGTTCTCATCAGACGTACATCGAGAAAAGGAATTGATTGGTCTTGTTCCCTTTCTAACGTGAAGTTTATGGAAGGGTGGCACGAGTTAAAGGTATGTAGAATATCATCTAAATCAATATTATTGTCACAAACAACAAACGTGTCGTCCATGTATCTCACGTACAGGTGGAATCGATTGATCATTGAACGGAGTTGGTCGTTTTCTACTTTTGCCATGAAACAGTCTGCTAAAATTGGACCCAATGGAGACCCCATTGCGATCCCATCCCTTTGTCTATATATTTCATTATTGAAACTGAACTGGACATTAAAAGTACAGCGTAACAATAATTCTTTCAAATGTTCAGTTGGCAAACCTAGATCTATATTGTTAGAATCAATATACTCACATAAATAACATATTGTTTCGGTTAAAGGTACGCTAGTGAACAAAGAATTAACGTCAAGCGAGAACATGTGTTTTTCGGAAGCATTAACGTCCTTAATACGATCAATAAATTGAAAAGTATCATGAATAGAATGTTTACATACTTGCCTTCTAACCGGTTCCAATTTTTCCGCTAACCATTTGGCGATTCTGTGGTATGGAGAACTTGACATGTCCAAAATAGGTCGTAACGGTAAACCCAGCTTATGTATTTTCGGTAGTCCATATAAGCGCGGGATGACTGAACCCATGGGACGCATGTGATTATATAAATCTTGGGTTATTATCCCCTTATTCTTAAGATTTTTAACAACATCTGTTAGCTGTTTTTCGATTTGTAATGTTTTATCAACTTCTTTAGGTTTGGAGAATTTATTGAAATCCTATTGTATTCTATTAAGTTTGAACTTAGTGGAGCTTATGTTGTTTACCGTCTTATTCTATTATAGCTCTCTGTATTAACTAGTTATGTGAATAATGAAAGTGTATATGTATTTTTTTGTGATTGAACGGATAGTTTTATATTATACAAAGTGATAACACTTGATATAGCTGATGTATAGACAGTTTAGGCAACGAGTGCAAAGGAGGTCATATTTATGTTATTTTGATGATCATCTATTTTACGTAATTTTCGAACGATCAGAACGTGGTGGGCTCAAGTAAACTAAGTATTTGATAGATTTGTAAATGTTAAGAAAGTCTCCCTTAACATACAAACTTGGATCTTAAATAAATCACCATTTTAGAAGGTTTTTTTTGTGTGGATATTATAGGTATAGGTAAAGAAGTTTGTTTCTACATTATTTAATTGGAACAAAGACATATTTTATTCAAATATTAACTTCACTGATTCATGTCTGCAGATATGTATTAATGTGGCATCCAGAAAATTGATTACCATTAATACACACCGAGATCTCTATCACTACATTCGCCTCCCGTTCGGAGTCAAGTCGTGCTCAGCCATATTCCAGCAAATTATGGTCGTAACGCTTACGAACTTTCCAAGTGCCATGTTTTACATAAAATAATTTCTGGCACAACCACAGAGTGATTCTTCGAATGTCTGGGTATGGTTGTGTGTATTAAAGATTATAGTTTCATACTAAAGCAAGAGAAAACTAACTTCTTCATGACTTCAACCAAGTACCTCGGATTTGTTATCGATTGCTACGGAAGACGCCCTGATCAAGAAAATATTGATCATAAAGAGATTCCCACCACCATCTGAATTCAACTACCTACTGTCATTCATGAGGTTAATAAATCATTATGCCTAATTATTTCCATCTATGCATCAACGTCGCGCGTGTCTAAATGAACTTCTGAGTAAAAAGAAGTAATGACATTTCTCTAACCAATGTCAAAATAACTATGGCAACACCAAAAAATGCTGCTAACGCCTCTGATGCATCGAACTATGGACTCGAAAGTTTCATAAGATTATCTGTGGACGACATTTCACTCTCTTAACAAACCATAAGCCCATTCTATTAATTTTTGGTTCAATGAAAAGCATCCCAACATACACCGCAAATCGCTTGCAGCTGTGGGGTACACTTCTTCTTGGTTGTGATTTTATCAAATACATGTCGACGACCAGTCTTGGACAGACTGGCGCGTTATTAAGATTAATCAACTCAGTCGACAAATTAACGAGGATTGCGACATCTCGGCAGCATTGGTTGAAGCAGAATAAAAACGTCGGTTGCAATGGACGCCTTGCTAATGACGAAAAATATGATCTAGGATGCTAATCTATCCGATTATGAGCTCTAACAAGTCGTGAAATATGTGAATGCCAGTTGGCCAAATAAAGTTGATAATGATTTAATAGAGTACTTCCGACGAAGTGGTACATATAATTGACTTTCTTAATGTCTGAGGTTTTAAATCAATGTATTTAGAATGAAATTCTTACATTTCTAAGGGAAAACAATAAGTCAGTCCAGTCAGTCAGCCACAACATGGGACCAGGCACATATGTGAGTCTGTCCAACTTGCCATACCTCATTAGCACAACAAGATGAAAACTGGATTCATAGAAGCAGTTATTTCAGTAGTGGCAATATATAAAAGAAAGATCGCATATAGAGATATAATACAAGAAGAAAGAATTGGTTCGTAGAAAGAAAGATATGAAGCGATCTTAATCTCTTAGTTTAAGGGAAGACAGGAGTGTATACACCGACGCCATTGTGATCGATTATGTGCCATGTCACCAGAGTCTCCAACCATTAGTTACGAGTCCGCGGACCCCAACCGAGTGGTCTGCGTCTACCCGACCGTTGTTGCTACCTTGAAGTGGTGGTCGGGCTTGCCTATCATGATGAACCAATTGAGCTATACTGGCTGGAACAATCGTTCCTGAAGGTCATACCATACCAGACAGGTCGGTAAGACTAAAAGCAGCAATCCCAATGTCAGAGGGTGAAGTCGTACTGCTGACTGTACAGACATGTGACGGCAGTAAGGTGTTTCCTTCAGACAACAAGCATAGCAGCGATGCTGCCTTCCCAGAAGAACTCTTCCACGGTGTGGGCAACCAAGACGTGATAACCATCCTCATACTTCCGACAGCACTCAAGGAGAATAATAATAAGAGTGCTACATGTCACAAATTGTTTATTTTTTGTAGAAGAAAATACCAAGATAAGTGTACAAAGTGTAACACAGTTCATTACTTTGTTACACATCTGTGGAATAAAACTTTGTTCTCCCACCTCCCTAAATAGGTAGATAAACAAACGACTTACAGAAAACAATATTTTAGTGAAATAAGACAGGACTTATAATAAGGGAGAGCACAAAGTATAATGTAGTAAGTGTAGTAGCAGGTATATCTACAATGAGAATTGGATTAAAACTTGAAATTAAACGACATTAGTTCTATTCACTAATTGATAAGTTAATGAAATATCTTATGGGCACCAAAAATATGCACAAATAAAATTAGTGAGAAAGCAAAATAATGAAAGAAATAAAAAAGAATCTAAATAGTAGGAATTTGGAAAGGAATATATAAATGATAATCTAATGAGTGTTGGTTGGTTACTCGTGAATAGTTTTCTTTCCATTTCTTGTTTTATTTTGATTCACCTTGATCACTTATGGCTTTTTCATTGGAAGAGATAATAAGCACTTTTGGAGATTTCAATACAGAGTCTAGTGAACTTAATGTAGGACGTTTTCTGATCACAGCCTGAATAGGAAGATAAAAAGAGACAAGCATTACATATATAGCAAGAACAGTGATATGATTAGTTACCAGATAAGATATCAAAGATTGTAGGTGGTTCGAGGTAGTCTACAGGAAATCCTACTTGACCTAGTTGTCGTACTATTCGGGACACATTAGCAGGATGTATCTGTAGTTTTGAGGGAATTGGTGTTCTCTAATGAATTCAAATATAGATCGCCTAGCTTCAGTGTGAAACATTAACATTGAGTTATTCAAACGACCACTCACTGGGTTCCACTCCTACAGCAAGCACCAGATCCCTCAAGATTCCAGGTACACCATGCTCACGAGTGTCAACTAACACGAAATGTAGGTCCAACAGAGTTTCCCACTGACTAACTCCAACCACCCAACATCGGAAACAGAGAGCACATAAAATCGAGTCACTTACACTGGTCACTACATTGCAGCTTGATCGACAAAATTCGACTAACAGACTAATAGACTAGACAAACATGACACTGGTTACTCATTGGTAATAATTAATCAATGTTGGTTGACAGATTGTGGTATGCGTTTTGTTGCAACCCGGTTACCAGTTACATGTTCGTGTATTCAGCTGCAAGTCATCCGTTGTTTATATGTGAGGGCTACTCTATCGAATATGTGAACTAGGTAGGTGACGGTAGTGACTTTAAAACTTAAAATTGTTGTAAATTTAGTGGTTCATCTACTGAGACACTGGTCCAATCGAAAGTGTTATAACTTGTGAACCTGTGTGCCCTGTTTATTGTATAACGCAACGATACCGCCAATCAGAGAGCAGCGAACTATCAATCGAACCAGTGACGCATAAAACACGAGCGAGCAGCCTAGAGTCCTAATTGGTCCTGCTTTCCGCCTAGCTCAGCCAGTTGAGTCCAGAACACCAATCTCAGTCTCTGTGATATGAATCATGTATGTCAAACATACTGGGTTTATATACCAACCAGACAGACCACATCGTACTATGAAATATAAAATAACATTTGTACAAGATTTAGTTAATTGTGGCTGTGAAAGAGGGAGATAGTAATCAATAGACAGGTCATAACTCAAGAAAGATAAATCGTATAATAATCGTTCATAGGTCAAAACAAAACTCATGATAAGAGGGATATGAATATGATTCGTTTAGTTATTTAACAATTATACGATAAAAATACACCCATAAATGGATCCCAAAAATTACCATTCATTATTCTTATCGGGATATAACAGAAAGATTAAAATTACTTAGCTCTCCCTTGTCTAATATCAAAGGCTATTTAATCATAACTACACAAGTTTTGAATTAGAGTTTCAATATAATCGTCAACACTGAGATGTAGGTACATCCAACCGACGAGTCCCACCAGATAAGAAGAAAATCATGCAATGGATTCCACTACTGGACCTAATCCACGTATAATATAGTTCAGAAATTGAGCATATACATTATTATTGATTGCAAATAGGAACACTTCCTACACCACGCTTACGACTCAATAAAAAAACTATACAACTGTTCCGCCGACAAAATGATATAAATTCACTTAGAACTTACGATAAATACACATAATTTGAAGGTAAAATATTCTACTTAGTAAGTAAGTAACACAATACATTACATCAACCAAATCATAGATGAGCAAACGAACATTTCCCACTGTTTTATATACATGATATCATAAATTAAACAACTAATAATTAACTTAACACATTGCGAATTCAGCCAGTCAGTCAGTAACAACATAGAACTTCGTACGTACGTACATCATTTCGAGTTACCATACCAAATTAGCACAAAGATGCAGTTGTCGATTCAAGTCCCATAGTGGTAGAAGTAGTAACAGTATAAGCAGTAATCGGAAAGATTAGGGTTTGAAGATGTTATTCAAGGAGTATAATCCAGTGAAATAAATTTGGAAAGAGGAAAAAGGGGACAAGGAATCAGGAGATTAGAATTTGAGAGAACAACACTGAGAATTTAAATATCAAAACGCATTTGAGGAAACTTATTTTAAGATTATTTGTTACATCAAATATAGTGTGGATAAAGTATGGAGCACAGTCCTAATTATGATTATTTATACATGTACCTACAACCTTCACTTTAAACCTCAATAAAATATTTATATGAAATCAATGTGTGGAGATGATACGTCTCGCTAATCATGCATAGGCCGAAAGGTAAGCGAACGCTATTGATTGAAAATAATGTTCTCATTTCTAAGGGAGAAAGATGTATATTTATTCGGTTTTAGTCAATAAAGTTTGTTTCTTACTCAAGCAACTGATTAGGATTCGTGTTAAAGGAATCAGACTCGTCAGTCAGTCAGTCAGCTACAACGTAGGACCAGGCACATATGTGCATCGGTCCAGGTTGCCATACCGCATCAGCACAACAAGATGAACACTGGATTCATAGCAGTGGTTATGTCAAAGGTGGTAATATATAAGAGAAAGATTGCATATAGAGATATAATACAAGAAGAAAGGATTGGTTCGTAGAAAGAAAGATATGAAGTGATTTTAATCTCTTAGTTTAAGGGAAGACAGAGAGTGTATACACCGACGCCATTGTGATCGATTCTGAGCCATGTCACCAAGAGTCTCCAACCATTGGTTACGATAGTCACGCGGACCCCAACCAAGTAGTCTGCATCTACCAACATGGCTCAGACTACAAGTTAGTGACTTCAAGCACTGATGCCACGGTGTTAAAGTTCAGAGACAAAAACATGTTTAAGTGAGAATTAGAGTAGACGAATTGTATGATGTTCATTGATCAAAGCAATCCAAAATATGGATGGATATACATCGTAAATGCCAACATCCTGCAACTGATTTTAAACCCTATCTGGATAGATGGAGTAATGGAAAATAAAAATTGTAGAATTTGATGGTAGTAATGTTAAACTTACCTTATCGGTTAATAAACATTGATTGCTTTCTTTGCTTTCATTAGTATAATTATTACTGTCATTTTCGACATCTGCTGCATGTTCATCTACGCTGAGTTGGGCATCGTTGGGACAAAGTAAATCAATAGGTTTATTTGAATGACAGTCAAATGGATTGGTAGTTTCAGGAGAATGATTATTTGATGAAATTCCTTGTGATAATGATGACAGATAGATTTGTTTTGAAACATTTAATTGAGAGTGATTAGAAGATACGGCAGTTTTACTTGCATGACTTATCAATTGTTGAACTTCATTTTGAATTTCAGCATCAATAAGCCAAGGATCTTCTAAAACATCCTGAAAATAATTAATTGCATTCAATAAACACCACAATTTGCTAAAAAAAAATATAGGAAATTAACTACAAAGGTGCATTATTAATATGATCAGGTGAACATTATTTGTACTGATTAGTTGGGAGTTCTCTTTGCCCATGGTCAAATGCTGTAAACATTGAAATGGCACTGCATTTATTTATTCATTCGACGCTAGAATGTAGACAAGGTAGGAGTGGAAAACATTTATGTACATGTTAATCAGTGGTTTATCCCATCAGATCTTCCTGGTATCGCTATTCGCGATATATATATATATATATATATATATATATATATATATATCGAGTCATTGACTGTTGAACTATGTTGACAGATGAAGAGTAACGAGTTGAGGTCCACATGAATACCGTAACCAAATGATTGGGGATGGGCAACATAACTGAAAAGCAGTTGCAGTGGCGAAGGTGTATGCACTTTTTATCGAGCCTTAGTTCTCGAGTTGCAAAATTATTCTATACCATTTATTTCCTAAATTCATTCTTTCTCCTCGAATCACATTATTTTATTTATTTAAACACATAAACATTGGTACAAGGAGCCACCAAACAGATATGAACCACATAAACCATTAGATTTGTGTGAAGAATAGGATACTGCCCGGGTGCCTAAACCGAATAAGGTGGTTTTCTTAGGGGACTCCACACCCGGAGCCTTCGACCTGAAGGTCTGATCCACAAGGCAATGGAGCAATGTCACATGATGCAGTCCCATGGTAGCCGGTGACCAACAATAGGTTCATGAGCCATTTGTTCCCGCAGGATACTGGAGCCCATGTGCACCATTGGTTTGGAATCAGAGTTCTCTAACTTCTCTTAGGTGAGTCTTCCATATCTCGAATCATATACTCTATAACTAACCTTTCCTACTACCACTGACACTACATCTACTACTCTGGAATTTCTTTTTATAATGTCATCATATTGTATTGATATGTTGTGGCAACTTGGAACATTGTAAACATGAATCAGGCTGTATGTTTCGTATGATTGACAGACTATTTTATTTTAAAGTTATAATTTTAGTGGAAAAAACAATACGTAATTGTATTATTCTATGATTTCATTTATTATGGTTCCAAAAAAACCTCCCACAATACAGACACTTTGAAACTTACATAAATTGAACTCCTATTAACTGGATTGACAACAAGCATATGTTTAATAAGATTTATAGCTTCTTCACTTATTCCATGCCAGAACATCTTGGGAAAATCATATAAACCATTAATAATTTGAGTTTCTAAATCAAAATCTTGACGTTGTTTAGTGAATGGAGGATATCCCACTAAACTGAAGTAAATATATGAAATGATTAATAAAAAGTGATAAAAGAATGAATTATAAATGGATATGCGGATATACGATAAACATTCGAAGAATTAAATCCCGTCATTTGCCTTATTTTAAATGGAGACAGATATGAGAAGAATGAACGACAATTGGGTAGAACTAGAAAGGAAGGCTTAGGACAGAGTGGATTGGAGAATGCTGGACGGTGACCCATGCTTTATTGGGAGTAACAGACGTAAGTAAGTAATTTGCCTTAATTTGATGTATTATAAATATACAACATGAATGCAAAGTTCTGAACGAGAGTAAATTTGGAAAGATTATAATGAACTCTTTTTTTGATGGAGTTTTGTTCTATGAGCTGGATGGTTTGGTCGTAGAGCTCACATCGTTCTTCTGAACAACATCATCAGCACAAACTTCAGATAGAAATGAAGCGTTCGAATTTCTCCATATGTGGTTAACAGCTTGTCCTGTACACCAACAACATATATTGCTATTCATTTTCTAGTATTCGCTGAAGAAATTCCCATTATATACAAAATGGGATTAATATGAACGAAGAATACTCTTTCTCATCGGGTACTCTACAATTACCATGCCTTATATTCCGTGGTTTCTCATCAACTGCTTACAACCAAATGTGTATTAGAATTTTACAATAAGATAAGAAATAGTATTAAACAATTGACATAATTGAATACAAAAGATTGGAATGACGAAGGTTATTAATATATATATACAAGAACAGGTCAGAGGTTATTTGGTGTTAGAATCAAGGAAACATTAAGGATGGGTGATGTAATAGTTGGGTGGAGTTCAAAGACAGATAAGATCAATTGTGTGATAGATTTAGAGGTAATGTAGGGTTTATATAAGATTCATGGAATTAAAAACTGATAAGATGGGTTACGTAATAATTGGATAGAATTTGAAGAGTTCACATAATTTAAGGGAGTCAAGTGAGTGGAAACGTATGAGTGAAGGGGTGGTTTAAGAATTCAGTAATGGAAGAGAAATATAACACAAACTGAACATTAATAGTAGATATGGGTGGATGCTGAGTAAATTTCCCAAAAACGGTTAACAAGTGTAATAGTATAATGATGATAATAATGAAAATGGTAAGATGTGTGGATAAGTTTAGGATATAAAAATGGACACTAATCAAATTACGTCACCATATTATAAAATTGATTATTATCTAGTTGGGCCCAAAGTTGGCCAAGGTAAAAGGAGTGGCTAAACATATTTCTTTTGTATGCAAAGCTCTAGCTTTTTGTCCTGAATAGCAATTGCTTCAGCCGTCTGCGGAATTATCAGTCTGACAGAATTAAGTAGACTGTTGTTAACACGATATATTATTGCGAAAAATTGCTCCATGTTGGCTGTATGTCCCATCTAAATTAAAGGGGTTAGGATGGAGTTGTTAACTGTTTTAACTAAATTTTTGCTTAACCACGCTTGGAGGTGTTCACGAGCCCAAATATAACAAATTCCTAGATCATCTGCCAATATGACTACTCCACAGGGGCAGTTGAACCGATAGATACAGATGATATACTGATGAAAAATTACTGAAAAGAATATTCTTCGTTCATATAATTGTGTTTTCTAGTATTATTAGTTTAGGTGTTGTGGAGATTGTTAAGTTTTTGATTGAAATCATGAGTCAATTGAAGCTAGACCATGGAAAACCTGGAAGCACTGGACGGCCGTTTCGACCTAGTATGGGACTCCTCAGCAGTGCGCATCCATGATCCCGTGCCCCGCGAGATTTTGACCCAGGCCCAGTGGTCTAGTTGGTTAAGCGCGTGGCGCGAGAATGATAGGTCCTGGGTTCGTGAATGAGCACTGCTGACGAGTCCCGTACTAGAACGAAACGGCCGTCCAGTGCTCATAGGTTTTCTAGTATTGACATATAATTCTCATTTAAACATTAAAAACACGAATTTCAGTGAAGGGATCTCTTTTCAACGAATTTATTTGTTAAAGTACTAGTTCCATGATGAAATGTGAATAAGGAATAACCGAGATGATGTAATAGAAAGATTATAATACTAGATTGCGTAATACAAATAATAACGAATTATAATGTGAATATAGTAAGATGATTAAAATGTTTTTGTTACAATCATTGTAAGTAATTAAAGGTAATAGAGATGAGAAATAAATGAAGTGATATCATGAGTAATTATGAATAAATGAATGAGAATATGAGATATAAGTCAAGGGAGAAATATACTTTAATAATAATACTAAATTGAGGCCAAGGTAACAATAACCATAGGACGTACTTTTTTTGTACGCATAGTTCTGGCTTGAGCTTATGGATGTTATAACATTGTTATTGTGCATTAAAAAAATACTTTGTACGTGTCTGTTTCAGTGCAACTTCGCTACATTACGTTACCTTATTAGTTGAACATTGTTTTCATATTACAATCTTTTCTGAACTACAATGTTCGAGTGTAGGAAGAGCTATAGCATTTCGGTTAGTTAAACAGAAGTTGGATGAAAGAATTAGAACCCGTGAAGTATTGTTTTGACCGATGAGTGATCACAATTCGCAAAGATTTGTGCAATTTATAAAATGGGTGCCTTCGAATCACTGATTGACTAAGATAAAATACTATGTGAGTAAAGTTGCGTTTACGAGCTACATAGTGCGAAGATGTGATGAACCAGTCAACCAGACTGTGAAATTCTTACCAGCTACGACTGTTGGAACACCTATTACAGATGCATAGCCACCACCAGCCCCATGATGTTACATTTGTTAATGTAAAAGTCTAGAAAAAATAAGTACAGGCAGGAAACGAAGTTATTTATTGTTAAACTGAGTCACACCGGGGTTGAAAACACTCCTAATTAAGGTTTGGGAGACAACTGTAAGTTTTTTGTGGAGAGCTTATAGGAGATGTGAGAGCGTTATGAAAACGAATTTTAAACTAAAAGTGAACATTTAGTGAATGATTAGGTGAATGGAAATCTGACATGAAAAGCTAAAACATTCTAATAAGTACAATTAACTGATTACTAAGTAGTGGGCAGTTTCATGTATGTCTAATCTTCTTTAATGCCAACCAAATTCTACCGATGGAGTTGCAATGTGTCTAGTCCTACAGGAGATCAGTTGCAGACCAAACAGACCAATGGTAATGTCTGTGATGCTGGGTTATGCGGGTTTGAATGTAACAATGAACATCAGTTCGCTCAAGACTGAAGCTAAACCTAGCTGACGAGTGTCAGCTGTTACGAAACTCTGGCTAGACAGGGTTTTCTGACTACTTGAAACCACTTGACAACGATGAACCTATATAGTTTTGATGGGTTACTATCAAAAATGAAAAATGTAAGTTCTGTCAAACAAGTTTTTATGATTTGTAATTATCAGTGTCAAATTGTTGAACTAAAATATCTCTAGATGATCTTCACATACGTGAAATTATGCAGTCTGTATTGAAAAAAAGAATAGTTTCAAATATTGGGATAGAGCAGTCTGAATTAATACCATGATTTGTTAGGTAAAGAGTTGTATTTACTACATGCATGTATTTTTTATGCAAAATATGAAAGGCTACTTCTGTTTTCTTTGTTTTAAACCCCATTTAGAATTTATAGAGCTTTCATAAATATTCCAAATAGTTTAAACAGTCGTTAGCATTTCAGTTTTTAAGGTTTTGACTAATTCCTAGTAAAAATAGTAGGAAGATTTGGTGATATATTATCAATAATTATTGTGTATGATGTATGGAGGTAGGCTGGTTATCATTAGGGTTCAAACAAGCAACCGAGTGGCTGAAAAGAATATGTTTTAATCAATACACCACCACGATAAGGGTAACCTGAGCTTACAACAAATATATACAACTTACCAAATGTACAAAATCACACCGAGTGACCATACATCAATAACACATGTGTATGTACCACAACCAGCAGTTTTTAGAACTTCTGGAGCCAAGTAGTCTGGAGTACCACAAAATGTACGCAACATTGTCCCTTCATCAACAAGTTTTGATACACCGAAATCAGTCACTTTTATAAGACATCGATTTGCTTTACTTGTGAGGAGAATATTTTCAGGCTATAAAACAAAAGTAGAATTAACAGAATAGTATAGAACGAATTTTACTGTTTTATGAATGAGGGTGTTAATTTGGTAGACCATTGAACAATGAATGAGCTCTGTACGAATAAGCGAAGCATGAGGAATTTATCCGAAGCGACAGTTTATCTATGGATTTAACAATACGACAGAAGTTTTAAATCAAGTGTTATATTCGAAATATTTCAGTTGTATAGGTATTAACGAACATCACAGTTAGCTATCACTGACAGTTTTCTTGAGTGTCTAATTAACAACATAGTTATCTTCATGAGGATTTAACATGTTCAGAAATATAAAACTATTAGATAGTGGTGTTATTTTTACGTAATAATTTATGATGCATAAGTATGCATGATATTTAATATCTAAGTTGACTACGTATGACTGAAGAGACTTAATAATCTATATAATTGATGTTAGATAGTGCAGGCAACCCATAGACCAGATTGATCATTCTTTTTTGAAAAAGATTGTTAAGTGAATTTTGCTAAACTTATTCAAAATGTTCCGTATTCCATCGTTGCTTTTTAGAATTATAGAAGTGTCGTCCATAAAGCGAAAATGAAGTTCCAGCTTGCTTATTATGTACTCTCAAGAGACTGTTCTTTAAAATCCTCTAAAACAAAATATTTAGGGTTTGACCTAGATGTGAGCTCATGGTGATACCAGTTTTCGCTATTCGATTTGTCAGTTTACGAACAAAAAGTTTATTTTCATTTAGTGTACACTATTGAATAACCGTAAAAAATCGAACGATGTCGCAAATTTCTTATTTACTCTCAAATTACTCGTGTTTACCGAAAAATTTAAAACCAAGATAATCACAATACTTAACTAGCACATTTCACAAGCTATTAACTCAAAGTACTGCCAGGGAAGTCCTACTCACTGCCTTCTGGTGTTGTTTACGAAATTGAGAGGACGAAAAGCGAATACCCGGCGCTTTAACCGGATTCCAAACAAATGATGCACATGGGCTCCATTATCTCGCGGGAACAAATGGCGTATGAACCAATCGTTGGTCACCGGCTACAATGGGAATGCATCTCCTCAAGATGCTCCACTCCCTTGTGGATCAGACCTTTAGGTCAAAGGCTCGGGGTGTGGCCCTCTAAGGAAACCACCTGCTTTGGTCTGGGAACCCGGACAGTATCACAGCCCACACACACACACAAATATGGTGTGGCGCATATATATTTGGTGCCCTCTTGTACCAATATTTATGTGTTGAAATAAATAAATAAATAAACTGAAAATTTCATATGGAACTAAACATGTGATATTGAATAAAGCCATTAATAGGAATCTTACTGAAAACTGTAGGACAAAGAAGATGTAAAAATACAATGTCAAGTCTAAAATTTGGTGATTTTAGACATAAAACTTGAACAAGTGATACATTTAGGAAAAAAAACTACTTGACTGTAGTACATCTAAAAAAATCAACAAATATATAAATAAGTTCAATGTTACCTTTAAGTCACGGTGAGTGATTCCATGATCATGTAAGTACTTTAGAAGTAAAAAGGAGGTTGAAAAGAGAAAGAGAGAGAGAATAGCTATCAATAATAATATTAATATAAAACGGCTTGGTAACAATACCCATTCATAGTAAAAAGTTGATTACAACAAGTAAACAAAAAAGGCAAGGTACTTGCAGATATACACAAAACTACTTAACTAATTAGTGTTAATAATGATATCCGTAAGTATTTAGTTAGGAGAATAAAAAAATGAACATAAAACAGGAGTTATGCAAACTCATGAGTCAGTAACCTGGTCAACATAATATCGATAAGTACATTGATTATCTTCGTCTATGAAATTTCAGGTGAAAAAATAGCAGTATAGTCGCATTTCACTTTTAAACAATTTAGTGGATACAAGTTGTGCCAAATGAATAAATGAATATTCAACATCCAACTCATATAAGAAAATTTATTGTGCTCTAAATAAGTCCTTTTTGCTCGTAAATGGGCTGGTTAAGGCGACGGTGAAGAGAGTACACTCCCCTCAAAAAATCCCTATGCATTGCTTTCTTGAGTGGAGGGGAATGCTGATTTTAGAAACGAGAGGATGAAAAGAGAACATTATGCAACTAAACTGGGTTGGTGGATAAGCAAAATTTGTTAGGTGAGGAGTAAAACACCGATTCCAAACCAACGGCGAGGATGGAATCCAGGATCATGGGAGAACAAATAGCGTACTGAGCGACGATATTGTTATGACGGGATAAATGTTGTAAACGTTGGAACTGATTTCATCGAATTATTGTTTTACTGTATCATTATTCAGTAACTAGATTGTTACATATATCCCTTTTATCATAGGTGATATTGTTCAACTGCTTTTTTGGTTAAACTTTGAGATTGAAGGCTAGGGGAGTGATTTCCGAAGAAAACCACCTGGTTATGCTTGGGTAGTAATGCGGCTAGCATACAGATATTGTGTGGCGTATACTATTTTTGGTGCCATTTTAATAGGATTTGTGTGAATTAGATGAGGTGAATGAAAATATTATCAGTAAATGAATTAAGCCAAATAACTATCAAAATATGAGATACGCACATCATTAACTGTCATTAGAGGTGACAGCACTTCAAGTTCATTCTTAAACTAAAACAGTTTCAATTTGCACATTGGTCATTCATTAAACCTTTTATTTTTAATTTAATTAAACAAAATTAGATCGTCAAGATACCACCAGGAGTGTACATATAATTAACTGGTTACCTTCACGGCTATAACCATTTGAAGAAAGAAAAACTTGGAATCAGATTCATTTAATTGACCAAGGTCGACAATACGATTAAAGAGTTCACCACCTTCAACACTGAAATGTAAAATGAGTTTGACAACCGATCTGCTTACAGCTCAAGAACCATGTACATCGCTTCTGTCGTATCTATAACATCGTAGATCTGAATGATACATGGCTACGAATAAGAGTAAATGTTAAAGAACAGATTAACGGGAAAAATTGGAGTAGAGAAAAAAGTATATTTACAATCAAAATTTTCCTGTTGAGCAAAAAGATTAGGAACAGAATATAGTTCAGTGTATATCAACCATACAGTGTTAGAGTACATATACCGATATTATGCCTTTTACCTATTATATATTTGAACATATAAATATTGGAACAAAGGGACACCAGATATATATGTGCCACAGCTATGCTTTACCTACATTCTATTCTTTTGATACGTTTACATAATTAGACTGATTTTATGTATCTTTGGTCAATCAGTATATCCAGGCCGAAGTGAAACCTGAAGAATATTTTAAACATCGCGAATAATCTGACAATTTCAGTGTAAATGTCAAATACATATCTAACTGTTAGAAGATGAAATAACTTATAACTCTGGAAAGTTGTCTACTCTTTTAGACTATTGCGATATATTCAAGATGTAAATAAAATCATGCCTTTAAACCATGAGATAGTAAAAATATGACTTGCAATAAAGAAAAACGAAAATTCAATGTATTACTTGGTACAATTGTGATTTTAATGGGTGTACTTTACACTAATAGCTCTAAGACTCGTTAATTACCGGGATATTTCACAAGAAGTACATATAAACCTATTCAAAGCCAAGTTTAGCATTTCACATTATCATGTAGATGGTTTGTTCAACACTATCGAAGACCAGGGGTTTTACAGATCTAACTTTTGGGACAAGATTCAAAATTAAATGTGCATCCCACAAGTAACTTGAAGTAGCGTCCAACATTAAATGCGTAAGATTTTCTGACAGATTGTTATTGACCAGTCTGGATTAAATAAATTACGAGGTTTTATTTTCAAAGTATCAGTCTTTCGTAACAGGAATCGTTTTAGGGTACAGTAATAATCCCTTGAATTCTTAATAACGCAGATGTTTTTACTTATCTAGATACTTGGTTGAAAGATTAAGCTTATGCTAAGAACAAACAGTACTTAAATATTCAGGTAATTACTAATACGAGTTTTAATTCGTATTTGACTTCAATATCATTGAGGTCAACTTGTCCAAATGGCTAGATCTAATTAAAGTCATCAAATTAGAAGACACTGATAAACTATTGATTCATATCCTGTGTCATTAAATTAAATGGATTAATCATCCATAAAATTGACTTCCAATGACGAAAACTAGGGTAAAAATTTATGCAGTTGCATATATGTAGGTAGCAACTAAACAAGTGTCCAACAACCACAATGTTAGCTAATAAGCATTATCCCACAAGGCTGAGAGCAGATAATGTACATAGCACTACTGTTATTTGGATTAACAAATCAGTGACAGAGTGGTGTGATAGGTTTGTATTTGTATGTAAAGTTAGTAATGATAGCTGGCTAGGAAAAATACTTAGACATCAAGGAAAACCCGGAGACAGGCTATTATTATTGTTACTAAAGCTAGTCAACCAATGACATATGTAGATGAATGAGGTTATACATGAGCATATTGTAAAACTTTTGAACTATGAGTAAACTTTGGAAAGGTTGTAAATAACACGTTATAAAACCAATTCCACCAGACTTACGTGATTTAAACGCGTTAAAATATCCACTTCAGAAGCGATTGAACTAGTGGAATGCTATTTTTCAAAATAAAATATAAATCAGTAAATATACCTTGCCAAATTTTGAAGCTAAGGAAAAGTGTTTCTTCTGAACTATTTTCATTGCGTATTTTTCACAATATTCCTTATCAAAGATCAGCTTAACTTCCCCATAGGCACCTCTGTTTAGTTAATATACAAATACAATGTACACAAACCGTCCGATATGCTTTGAAACAGTATATTTATCTGTCACTTCAGCTGGATAGAGAGCACGAGCGGAGCTGGATTCAGAAAATATAAAGCCTAAGAGTGAAGTGGTAAGTTAAAATACGATCAAACATTTTAAATTTTTTAGAGATACTGAGATTTCATCGTTGTTATTTAACGGTTGCTTCTTGCCACGTCCAATTTTTGACCCATTGACAAAAGTTCCATTGCTGCTAAGATCATGTATAAAAACCAGAGGATTGTTACTCGTTGATTCCTGTAAATGAATTATTTAATGGACGTAAAGAACATAGTTTATATACCAAAACTATTTTGAAGTGGAGTTTACTAACTGTTGTGAACTGTGATGAACCGTCAAACATATCAAGAACAAATCTGAAGGAGCAGTCATCACCACGACCGAATGTATAAGACTCATTGATCAAATCTAACGATATTGATAAGGGCCAATGTTATTGAAAGCCACCAAACCAATTGAAGGGAACCTGCTATCTAAGGGAAGCAATCTCCCCCAAACTATGGAGGAGTCAATTTTTTGTGATATGTAATCATGTGTTTCATCAATATCCTGCGTAGGAGGAAGGTCAGCCATAACTTCAGTTCTTAATGGAATGTACACCCACTCATTAACTCCCGCGCCTTTGTACTACATGTGGCTATTACACGCATTAGCACTAAGTACTAACACAGGCTTTATCAGTAAGAAATAAAGTAATAGGTCTTTCTCTAGATATAAATTTTATCTGTTAGATGTATTTCTTGAATATGAGAGCGTACTTCTCTCCATAATTATTCTCTAGGAAAGATTCAGATTTGTGTGATAAGGAAAGAAGGCCTACGGCCTATGTTATTCCTTAGTCACAATCTTTAAGTCTGCTTGAAGTGCGCGTGTATAAGTGTCTCCAGTTATTTCTCGCCAGATTTTTACATCGTCAGCATATAGTAACATTGGAGACTCAGCTATACTTGAGAGATAATTTGCATACAGTATAAAAAGTAAAGCATCTAGGACAGAACCTTGAGGAACTCCACTAACTACTGGTCTCCAGGTGGAGCGCTTTGAATTTAATCGTACTTTTTGTCTACGACCTACTAGGAAATCCTTAAACCATTTTGAAAGAGGTCCGGCAATGCCAACATTTTCTAACTTCAGTAGCAGTCTATTTGTTGGCACCTCGAATGCTCTGCTGAAGTCTATATAGATAACACACACTGATTTTTTATTGTCTGCAGTTTTTCACCATGTATGTACTAACTTTAGATGATGTGGTAAATTGTTCCTCAAAATCTACAAGCAACCTATAGTCGTCAAGAGCCGCACTCTTTCTTTACCAAGCCAGAAAAAGGCACTACTGAGCGGAATACAAACGAGCTGGTAACAACGACGCAAACATGTAATACGAACAAATGAGGAACGTATGTACAAACGCAATAAGAAAAAACAGGTTTCAGTACCAAATAAAGCCTGTCTATGAGTTTGTCTCCAATCAGTAAAACTTATTCAGTTATGCAGCGCCTATTCGACAAGCCAAAATTGAGTTTCCCAATTGCTAGGTCCTAAAGACCCTATCAACAACTACGGCGGCGCTACTAATCTCCTGGCTAAACAGTACTCTCAGACCTTTCAATAGACCCATACTAATTGTGTTGGCGGAAGCCTCATCTACAACTTCACAGGACTTGCCGAAGTGAACCTGAGCGCTGACTTGGTGTACCGGAAACTTCAGAACCTAAACAAAGATGCTTCATCCGATTCAGATATGGTTCGTTCTGCTATACTGAGGGAAGCAGCTTCAATCTTGGAAACACCGCCTAGAGTGATGTTCTCACATTCGCCAGGCTGAGGCATATTACCGAAAATTCGGGAGCTGGCTTACATCGCACCAATTTTCAAAGGAGTTCGACACAGTGAACCTTCACAAAAAGTCACTCTTGTATAACCAACCTACTGACTGCAGTGGACAGATAGACAACCGTTCTCTATCGCAAGGGGAAGGTTTACGGTTTCATTCGTCCCATTTGGAGTACGGAAACATAGTCCTTCCTCCCTCATTCCAAAAGGACATAGACACTCTGGAAAGTATAAGACGGCGAGCCACGAAATCAGTTCGTGGACTCAAATTCAAGTTTCACAAAGAGCGTCTCCAATCACTGAACCTTCAACTATTGTAGTAAAGGCGTTGTAAATGCGACTTTCTAACGGCTTGCAGAATCCTAAATACCTCGAGATGTCCACGTAACCACCTACTTAAGCTTAGTCCCAACACAAACTTTAGGAGTAACACCCGGAAATTGGAGACGTAATACAGAACGACTGTAGATACACCTTTTACTCCTTAAGTGTAGTCAAATGCTAAGATTCTCTGCCGGCTGAGCTAGTTTAAGCGACTTCCCAGGAATCATTTAAGAGAAAAACTGACATATTCTTAGAAACTAAGGATATTTTCTCGCTATGATTTAAACATTTTTCCTATTTTATCGACAATATACCTTGGTTCCTGCCTGGAGGCATTGGTGATCCACAGCTACTAGATAAGGAAGCCCGCTAAACGAAAGCTTTTACTCCATCTAAAACCATTTGAACCATTCGAGCCTTCCACAAAGGTTTCTATTTGTATTTGCACTCTTTCCAGTATAACAGTTTCATGAATTACCTCAAATCCCAAACCCAACGGTTCCTGGTTCGCTTTTGCTTCTTACCCAACTTTTTAGTCATAAGCTTTCGTCGCTTTTTGCTTTTCCCCCAAATTGTCTGAAAATCTTTGAGCGATGGCTAGACAGAGTAAAAAAGTCAACTGTCAATGCCTGACTTATCGATACCCGATGAACGGCGGTATATAGTATGATGAATACAAAGGCTGATACCAAGGAGTGTGAATTAACCTAACAACTGCAACCTCTAAAAGATGTAGTAAATCCATATTTATGTGGTTATACCAGTAGCACTTTTGGCTGCAGCGAGCGTATTATCAGAAGTTATTAAATTAGTGAACACAAGCAAAAGCCCACAGCTAAATGAGACTTCACTGGCTCTCAGAAGATTATTTGGATGATACTTGCCCTTTAGGTACAGTGTAAATATGATTGACTTGTGTGGGCTGAATGGTTAAGGACCACCTTCGAAGAGGCCTGGCAGAAACTAAAACTCAGGCGAGAGGGTGGTAGAGAAGGTGTCCTCTCTGCCTAGTTCTCTAAGTCTATTGCCACCTGCCAAAACCAACAGTGGGGCCACATCTGTTTCCAGCAGGAAAAATAATGAAAAACAAGACTTGATCACCTAAGTCATCGAAGTCTCTTCTGGATCTCAAACTGGGTGTAAATCGACTTCGATTGCAACCCTAGTAAAATCTGAGGACGTTAGGAGCGAAAGAAAATTAGGCGCCGTCCAACATTACGAAAGAAAAGCCAGAATCTTAAATCTTAGTTGAGAAACCATAGGCCGGGTATGGTGGCAGATCACTTATCTTCCACAAAGTCGACGAAGGCTAAGCCTATGAGCCTGAAACTCGAGTTCAGCATGATATTGGGTCAGTAAAAGGTATATTCGAGCAACTAACACCTTAAGATATGTCTGGGGACACCCTAGAATAGATAGTCAAACGATGGACTTGAAAGAAAGCAAAGCCGGACTGTTTAAAGTGGCATTTAAATTTCTGAATAGAAGGTTTTAATGCTACGAAACGATCATAAACCAAAAGGATCAGGAACTTTTTTACCCAGAAAGACCTGTCGCTAGTTGGCTGTATGAAAAGATAATGGTCTGATAAAAAGCTAAATGTAATATTAGATTCCGTCCAAAATGACCTCAGAACTGTAGATTTTCGGGTTGTAAGGCTTCTGTAGTGTATGATGCAGTAGCCGCTCTAGATTCAAGGCGAAGCTATTTGATTGGTCTTTGGATCTGCTACACAAACGTTCGAACCATGCTCAAAAAGCAACCAAAAGTAAGTGTTTAAGTAGCCTCTACCAGGGTGGATGCATTCGGCATCACAGAATCCTCAGTAGATTAGACGATTGATCCATAATCCCCTATGGAGACGGCTAGGGAGATTCATATGAATTTAGGCATAAAATGAAAATATCACATTTACTCTGGATTATACCAAGGAATGCTGGGAACTCCCTATCATGGTTCGTTAAGCAGGACCATATACCTGAAAAAGAAGGGTGTTGGAAAAACTTATGTTACTAGGTAGTGGTGAGACAAAACCTTAACATCAGGAAGCTAGAAATATCCGTTCATCCGCATTATGCAACACTGAAAAATTCTATGAAACAAAAACTTGTCAAGAATTTTGTACAACTCACGAAAACGCCTATATTTTTACGTAAATCAGAAGATAAAGAGTTAACGCGACCTCCTTGCACTACGTGAGGATAGTGGAACATCATCAGAGTAAAACGACTGCGACAAGGTTCGGGTATTCTCAGGCCATCATCGTAATGCGTATATCGTAGAGGTGCTTCTCCCTTTGCTTCATATAATCCCTCAAGTCACACTCGCGATGTTGTGACCAATAAAGGACCGGATGTCTTTGGCCTGTTAAACAAACTTTATATGAGCTATTCTCTGGTACCCAATAACATACTATAATATTTTGAATTCTTTGAATTATAGCACGAACTAAGAGTCCCAGAATTAACGCAATTGAATTAAGAAGTAAGACACAAGCACAAGCGAATGTATTGTATTTGGAATTCGAATTCGAGCATTGAACAAGTACAAAGACATCATTAGTCCATTCAAACACCACACATACATCTTAGATTACTAAAGGAACTGTCAAAGTTCTCTGCAAAACTTTCGAGAATATATTTTAATCTATCTGTAACCCAAGGTGGATTTCCAAAGGACTGGAAGAACAACATAATGAGCCCTGCCTCACGAGGAGTTACGAGACACAAACCTGAGAAATATTGATCCATAAGCCTAAACAGTGCGGTTGCTAAGATTGTGGGAATTATTAATCAAGTGCTGTTTAGTTACTCAGACGAAAACCAGGTTCTTTCTGCAAAGCAGCATGGCTTTAGAACAAGCAGTTCATGTCTCACAAATTTATTAATAGCCTGTGAATGTCTATATGCTAAATGACCGAACGCTATCCATACACTCAGCCTTCATTGACTTAAGTCAGGCCTTTGACAAAGTACCACACAACTGCCTTTATCAAAATTAAGTTATATCGGTATTACCTACTTCTTTACTCCTCCTACGCCTCATAGTGGGCTTTGTCGTTGATATTCGTTATTATGCTTAAACTTGGTATACTATTCGTCCGTTAATCGTTACTAGGTACCACTCCAAACGGTGTATAAATCAGAAGGCGAATAGGAAGCGTTGATCACGTTTATTAATTTACCACACACATGTCACAAAAATCACAGGCACACGAAGCAAGAATGAAAAGGCTATTGCCGAACAGCGAGCAAACAAGCGGGTCAAATGAATAGGATTAAAATGTACAAGTATTTATACATAGGAAAATAAGTGATTCGTCGAATCATTTGAGCGACTAACCTAGAGTTAGAAGAGTGAATATGTGCGTAGGCGGTAAGCAAGCGCCGCAGAAAAAATCATGCTAATAAGGGATTAATTCATTTGCATGAATACCATGTCCTAATGGAAATGCGGTGAATG